ATACTTTTGGCTTCATTTATTATGTCATCAATTCTATTTCTCACATCGACAATACATTTTTCAAAATTATCGATAGCCGTTTTAACTTGCGCTGGCTCGGTTTTTCTCTTCTGCAACTGGTTGAACAAGATGTCGACGTGAGGCATGACATGATGAAAAAATGTCAACCAAAACACGAAAACAGAATCGTTTGACATACGGTGAATACCGCAAGCTGCCTTGCAAACTGTTTCATTAGTGAAATCTTCTTCTATTTCTTCCATGCATTCAATGAGTGATTTTCTGTTCTCAAACACTACATTTATTGTTCGAATATTAAAATTCCAACGAGTTGTTGCTCCTTGTGGATTTTTTTCCCCACAATTCTGTTCAGTACCTCTACGCGTTGAGGAGAATTATTAAAAGATCCCGGAATATCTTTCAAATCCCCAAAGAACACCCGAACTTGAGCATTTGCGGAAGCGGCTTGGGACATAATCCGGTATAACTGTTGCGCATAGCAATGCACATAGTGAACAAATGGATATCTTTGTTGAATTGTTGCCTGTACTCCAGCATTATGACCGCTCATTACCGCGGCTCCATTATAGCTTATTCATATAATTCCAAAAACGTTCTACTGGTTCTCCGTTAAATACGTATCTGAAAATTGTTACCAGTTGGGTTTTCCCCGAAATTTCTGTTGTTTCATCTGTTTTATTATTTCTTCATGACAAACTTCAAGAATACAATCCAGTAGATCGTTTTGTATTTCTTTCGAAGTTCCTTTAAATATTGAAGCATTTTTTATGTGTTCGCTTAAGGTTGTATCAAGCTCAGCAGAAAAATTAATCAGCCCACGAAATATTCCCGGGTTTTGGGAGCTCTCGGTTTCGTCGTGGCTCCGTAGCGCCAATTCAAATGCTCCGCAAAATTTTATACAATCGATTATTTTTGATAGAACGTACCTGTTTCTTGTAACGGTATCATTGTGCTGTTGTATATTTCTCCAATATGCTGAATCTAACTGAGCTCTTATGTTAATAGTCCCCACTAAAGCCAATTCCATCGAATTATGAAGATGTGTTTTAGAGTTTTCTTGCTTCTTAATTTTTTCACTCAGGTGCACTAAATCTGTGACACCTACCTCCGTCCACGATTTGTCACCGAAAAGTATACAAGGAAAGCAGAAAAGGGCATTCTTCCTGTTGAACCCACAAATCCAGTCATTTCTGGTGTAAATCTCCCTGCTGAAATGCCGCGTATAGCCCTTGCCCCGACTAACGCCCTGTGTTTCTATAAATATGTCCGGCAGCGGTCGACCTGACACCTTCAGCTCATTTTTTTCTTCAAATGTGTATTTCCAGAATCGTTTCACGCTGAAGTCTGTAAACCACATCCATTGTCTTGCACTACCCTTCTACACAACCACAGTCAGTCAGTGAGTCACTAGTCACTCAACGTAACGTAAGACCCAAAATACCTGAATCAAAAATTTTTCGCATTAAAATTTTAAGCCACGTCACGCGACAAGACCAATATGCCAATACCGAGGACCGAGCACCGACCGACCAATCAGATATCGTACTTCGCATTAGATCTGTACGGATCTGCAACACATGCTTATGCTTAAATCGCACATTTGATTTTGTAGAGAGAGACAAAAGCAAGCGCGTGCGGTTTGTGTCGAAGTAGTGCACAGACCCTTTTCAAGTGGCCCATGAATAATGTTACGCTGCGGTCACGACAAAAATGACAAGTACACAATTGGTCGATTATAATGCTGCAAAATAGACTCGACGCCGTGTCTTGCGGGGGCATGCCGGTATTGTTTCTATTTGTGTGATAATATGGAAAATAAATAATGATCAAATTACTACTGCTTGTTTATGTTAAGATAAAAGTTTTGGCAGTTCTGCAGCTCTGCAGAACTTAAGGGCCAGCCGCCCCTGTCTGGGAGCAAATTCTAAAATATTTATTTAAATTATACATGGTGTGCCAATTTTGACCCACATATTAAAGTCGATTTTTCTTAAATGGAATGGCCTACCAACAAGGTTGGTATAACATACTTATGAGTCTTCGTTATTAGGTGTTGAATAATAAATTTCATATTTCACTCAATTTTAACCCAATTCATCCATTTTTCAAATTTTTGATGATCAAAGATATGAAATGTGCTTTTTCGCAAAAAAAAACGGGACACCTTGTATATTTTTGCACTAACAACCATTTTCATAGGCTTTTTTTAATATAAGGTTGTTATTAGTTTGTTCAAACGGTTTCTGCATTACAGCTATTTGTTTGAAATATTGAAAATTTTTCTCTATTCAGACAAGTAACATCATCCGTGGAATCAAGCAACAGATCCAATTGAGTGTATCAATGTTTTAATGTATGACCTGTGGATTTTCGTTTCTTAGTACTTGGAGGTTCTCAAGGAGACCTTAATGATATCTCATTTGATAGAGATTGACAATGTTCTGATGAGGAAAATAAACATCTTCGAAATCTCGACATGAACGAAATACAGACCTTCTGTCTGGCTTGAATTTCTTTGAGCTGTGCTGCAATGTCAAGATGCATCTTTGGAAAAGCAATCTTAGTTTAATACCTCGTTTGCCGGTAGTTTGGGTAGCCAACAGACCGTGAACGCTATGTATCGAGGAACGGCGCAACGGTTGTTATGCTGTCATTTTGTTTAAACCATGCAAACAACCAAAAAAAGTGTTTCAACCACAGATCTATAGCTCTACTTTCTGCGATCAGTAAGGTGATTGGGAGCTTATGGAGTATCTTGACCATCACGGCTAGATTACCGACACGCAGTCCGGTCTCCAGCACTACCGATCAACGGGGCACCTAGCTTACGTCACATAACTGTGGGGTAGACTTGTCCACTGATAAAATGAGACTCATGTCATTGCTCTTGATATCGCGAAAGTTTACGATTACCTGTGGCATGCTGCTCTCTTATGCAAACGTCCATACTCTAGTTTCTCAGAGAAGCTTCGTAATTGACACAATGTCGACGCGGGTGTATCCCAGGCTCCAGCACTGCTTACGTTACATATTAACGACATCCACTCTTTGTACAATCAATCTGATCCACAGCCTTTCTGAAAACAGCAATCTATTCGTAGGCATTCAGAGAGACTGGTTAGCGACTTCCTCTCTGACGTGACATCTGAAAGCTATCAGTGCTTAGGAACGCAACAATTTAGTACATGTTAATGATTCCAAGAGACATTACCTTGACTAACAAGTAGCGCCCCAGCTTTTCATCGTTCAAATGCTTAACTACATCTTGAATCAAACATGTTCGGTGTGTGGATAACTGTTTTGAGTCCAAACAACTTCAGCGAAAAAGTCCTCTATTGGTATAGCTCGGAAGTTAATGCTCTGATTCTAATACAATTTTGTACTACTATGAAGGAACACAAATGCTTCCACCAATGATGGTGCAGGGGCAAGTATGTTAAGAAGGGAAGAATTGAAAATGTCTACTAACTCAGTATTTTCGGACTTACTGATTATTTTTTGACTTAGTATAAACGTTCACGTGGTTCAACATCTAGAAAATGCGAAAATTTGTTATTTAACATTTTTTTCCTTTCTGGTTATTTCGGGCATAGTAGAAATAAAAGCTGTCAAAAATTCTTAAAGTAGACATGGCTTCTGTGTTTGCATATATTATCGGTAACAACGTTTAGCATTTCTGTGTAACTGAAATATCCTTTAGCCGTATTTGGTCATATTATCAACCTATATGGCTAGATTCTTTTATACAAGTATTTAGTTCTCATAAAAGTCTCGGAGAAGAGGTGAAATTTCGTTGATCGCAAAATTATGTTACTATAAACAAACAATTGTTTGCGTTTCTGCAAGAATTTGTAAAGATCATGTAGCGTTAGTGAAACCATCATAGATCGACCACCAATGGTACAAGGCATCTCCTCAGCTAATGCATCGTCAAAAAAAAACTACAAGGCTATCTTTCACTAGATCCTATACCCCACCGAGACTAGTGTATTTATTCCTAACTGAAGCAGCGAGATACTGTATATGTACATAATTTCAATTGTTTCACGTGATTAGCAGTCACCGACATGATACGGTTGCTCTGCTGTACAACTTATTGATATAGGATTTCATACTTTCTGTTGGACTGGATTTTTGCTTTTGCTTTTCAGTTCAGACCTGCTAGACCGAAATAATCTATAAGACTGTATTAAAGTGATACTTATTTATTTTTGAAAATATTCATACTTGGCACTGAAACAACTCAACAGAATGACAAGAGGACTGCATGATAAGCAGACACTGCATAGTCTTGTTGGTATATTTTGTCTGATGCTATGTTCCAACAAGCAAGTTCTAGCTATCTGAGACTATCAATAAGTCTTCCATCCAAATTTAAGATATGATCTTGCCTCGCTACGAACAGCACTGATTTGGTCTACTAAGAATGATTGTACGGGACTATTGGAAACTCATTGTTAGAAAAGTCCAAACCTGTGGGGAGTACGCGTCGATTTACCGCCGCCGCTTGGAAATTGCACTGGAGAAATTGCCTGAGTGTAAGTTCTGGTTCACCTATTCTGTGATCCTACCGTACACCCGATTTTGGTGAATGTTCAAGAATATATTGATTTTGGCTGGTCGGAATTTAAATCGCGGAGGACTTGATTTGGCACGATCACATCACGACTGCTGTTAGGAAAATGTTGGGTTATTTGTCACAAGTACTTCTCTTCACATAACCTCGCTCTATACATGGCCCAGCCTCGAATACTATTCACATGTTTTGGGTACTATGCTCCTACGCTTGGATCTTATGATTTAGAAGAAAACATGTTGATTACACTTAGAATCGATGTTCAGCATGGGGCAGGAGCCACGAAGACAAGAGTTGTGCTAATGTCTTTTTTGGAAAGTCTTGGCGCACGTCAAACAAAAAATGACACTGCAGGTAGGCAGCGCCTACCACTCAAGAAAGATGCAGATTCACCATGACTGGTATGACATATGTCTGACGTCTGTCACGTTTTGGTATTATCATCATCCTATATCATGAAAATCTCCTGTGATGAAGAAATCAATGTTTTTGTCTAAAACTGAGCATAGATGCGAAATTCAACATGTTGGCCGACATTAAAGAAGAGGATCCTAATGAGCTGGAACGCAAGTCTAGTCCACATGGTCTCAAAGTGGTACATGTACTTTTATAAAATTGAAATTCAAAGAAAGCTCTAGGAGACTCGAGACTGATTAAGGAATCAGAGAGCTTGATTCAGTGGTATGACTACAAACTCCTGAGAACTACACAGCTAATCCGTACCGGTACCAAACTCTTAGAATGCCAATCTGGTCGAGTATTTTTCTGAAACAGGATTCAAAGAACTAAAAATTGATGATCCGCGTTATATTTTAGAGCAAGACAAAATCTAGACTGCTTATACACCCTGAACGGTACTTGATGGGTATCATAGCGGATGAAGACACTGTTTGCGGATTTTTGCTAGCTGGAATCGGTGAGCTAGATCCAAATGGTGACCCAAACTATGCTGTGGTGGACGAGCATACTCCAGATATAGTGGTTGCTGCACATTATCGAAGGGTAGTTATATTATTCAGAAGCCATTTCACTATATTAGTTTTGAATCACCTTCCAATTCAGTCTATATCGGATGGTCTATTCGATGGAACCCCTAGAAACAACTTCCAATGGGATTTGATCACTTTGACGTTAGTTAATCAGCTTTTGTCCGGTTTGGAATATGGAATACTAAGGAATCATACTCTTAGTAGATCTACAGAGAGGACTTCACAGATAACTTGACGTCCCTCTTTAAATTCAATTCAAGGTCTTCAAATCCTAGCCTTTAGAGTTAGCGGTAACTTGCAGTCATCACAGTAGTGCAATTGTGACACTCTAAGAAAATTTTGGCGAGACCTTCAACACGGTAGAACCAGAAGCACTAAACAGGAGTTAACTACGAAAAGTGGTTTTACTTCTTAATGCATTGAAAGAGTATTTTGCCAACAGTAAACTATAAATCAAGTTGGCGGATGATATTGACTGTTGAGAAACTAGAGGTCATATAAGAATATGTTCGCTACAGCGTATGTGGTAAAAACAGTACATTAAGTACCTATTTCGGTGAAAATCAAGGAGGCCAAGGCGTCCTACAATTGTATGGCCTTTAGTACCCAATCTGCCACATCCTGATATCTTTCACCTGCTGTTTCGTAGAGATCACCTCTTCTGAATCGAGAAATCATCAAAAAATAAATTTTGTAACTAATTTTGTCAGTCTACCTCAACATACCTTCCATAATCTCAACTGACATCTTTCAGGTGTTGCTTCATAAAGACCTCGCGATTTTCTTGATCATGAGGCAGTAGGTCGAATTTGAAAAACCATCAAGAATACACTTTGGTACCAGCTTAGTCAAATTACCCTACCATATACCCTTCATATTCACCGGACCTCCTTCACTTGTTGCTCGAGATATTGTTGCGTGACTATAAAGCCACCGACCGCATTCAACAGACCGCAAAAGAATCAAGTTTCTAGTCACTGCTTAACCTTAGTTGACGTCTTCCAGCTTATCCTCCGTCAAGACATCGCTATTCTCTTGATTGACCACGAGGCAGCTGACCGTATCCGACAGACCATGAAAGAATTGGAATACATCAAATACCCTCATCTGGTCATCATACCAGACCATTATGGTCCATACGAGATGGACATTGAATATATTCTGGGTATATCTGCCAAACACGACTCTGAGGAAAGTGACCATGTACAAGAGTTAAAGAAGTCTAAGCAAGAGAACAGAAGACCGAATACAGATGATAACCCTTCTATCACTACTGGCAAGAAGACTTCTTTCAAGGAGGACTAATACTTGAAACTAAATGTGAACAGTCAATCAATTTATACAAATATAAATGGGAATTTCTGTTTAGTCTGTTCACAATACGGAAAGACGGAAAAATTTGTACACTTACTCATTCAAACACGAAGGTTATAGACATGGTTATGGGATGTTCAGAAACTTCACGTCTACCTTCGCCTAAGACCTTGACCATGACCTTAATGGGTATCGAGAGTCCCCAGAAAGCAGTGAAATGACAAAATATCTCAAAAAGCACGTTTCATTAAGAACATTTTGTATAATAAAGCCGTAAGGTTTGAAGAGGTTCTTCTTCTGATGACCCTGAAGGTGACCTTGTCAATGACCTTCAAGCTCATTTGAAGCTCAAGGCAATTTTCTTGAATGAAGGTGACCATGAAGCCATTTGAAGATATATTTTTGAAGCGGAACATCTATTTTCAATTTGACAAATGCAATTTGCAGACAAGATCATTTTAAGAACAGAAAAATGTTTGAGTAAGCTCCTTACTTTTTTTGAGTACGTACATAAGCCAAATATTGAAATTCATTTATTGGTGTATTAAAATGTTGGATCAATACTTGCCAAATTAACTGTTGTATTACTTGGAATATTGCACATCTATCTCTGAAACGAATCTCCTTCAGACTAATGCAAAATAAATGAAATATGGCGTGATCATCTGTGAAATGAATGGATCGATGCCAACATTAGGCCCAGAGGAATCGTTCTCATCAAAAGCAACTGGCAACGTCAACCCAATTCGACACACGTTCATACTAAAGAGACGGCAATCGGGACTAGTTACCGAAACTGCCCTAGCTGGTTTATTGATAATATAATCAGATAAAAATATTTTCCTATAACGTTTTTGTGATCCTTGGAGTAATTCAATTGGAACAGCAGGAACTCTTCATCTGTAGGATTGATATAAATTCAGTAGAGAATATGGCTTAAAGTCTTTGATCCCGTTTCTGACCAAAATTTATAGTACAAATTTGTCGATGTAACATTGCTTTATGTTTTGTACAACTTAACAGGCTACTACTACTACTTGTCGTTGTTTAGTCAGTACGGTCCGGTGGACCTTTTCTCTGAATTAAAAGTTTGACTTGTCCATTAGCCTGCCAGGTGTGGTCACCCAGATACCAGACAAGCTCATGTAGTAAGGGAAAGTACACAAGTAGTTATGCAATAAATGTAATTAGTCAGAAACTCACGATTTAATTTTGGTCACAGTTCAACTGTGCAGTCTAACGAGTCACGCAACAGAGGGTTGTTGTGCTCTTCTTGACTATAATGCCGAGATGCCTGTTATTTTAAGTAATTTTTTAGATGTGCGAAGTCAAGATCTCTGTGAATGGTCTCGTTTTAACGTACCATGGAGCCTTGGTAATTTTTAATCTATAATATGGAATATCGCAATTATTTCTACTTTATGGGTAAATTTTTATCCTTTATTTTGCGTAGGGTTCTATTTTGCAGAACTTACAATCTCTGCAGTTGAGTCTTGGTGAGAAACACTAAGCCATGCATGCATAGATGGTTGCGGATCCAATGGCCAGATCAAATCGAGAGTTGTTGATCAAGCTCAATTTTGAATTCCTGCTCAACAAAGGATGAAGCTGCTGGAAGGTAATTTGGAATTTTGTTTCAACAGCGCCAGTGTGTTTCTTCCAGATCAATCCCGTATGACTGATGACTTCAAGATACCTAACAGAGTGGAATGCGGGTCCCATTCACTGAGAGCACTGACTGAGATTTTCTTTAAATATTTCTTTTTCGTGAACTGTTTTTTCGTTATTTTCAGTGTGCCCTGACTCTGAGCCAAGTAGGAGTTTCTTAATTGCTAAATAGGTCCTGATGTTTTCATAGTGTAAAGCTGAAGACCTGTGTCAATATAAACAAATGTGTCGACCCTGGCTACGCGACCTCACGCTGTTTTGGATAGCCAAAAGGGATTCTAAAAGCACTTCTCTAGATACTATTTCATTAAGCTAAAGTCACCAACATTGTTTATATTTAGAAAATTTGGTTTTTGAAAAATCTGGCAAACTGCTCAAGAACTGAACATGAAAGTTTTTGGCTAGTGAATTTACTCATTGCGCCGTGTATGTTTTGCTGTTACATAATCTGAAAATTTGAACTTTATTCGTGACGCGCGACTGAGAATTCACATATGTATTCAGTTATATTGTTTACAATGATATCACAACCTACTATGGTGTTTGAATAATAAATTAGGCGTGGAGGCTGTGGAAGGCAAATACGCTTTTTTCTAGTCGAAATATTAAGATGAAAAAAAAAATGACGAAAGAACGAATCCATTAAGAAAAGTTCTGGGAGATTTATCACTTTGATGATGTAAATTTTAAGCTATATGATACAGCGGTCTTTGTACTTGTGCGCCGCAAAAAGCGACATTCGGATGGATGATACTATTATAAATTTAATGCGACTATTGAGATTTGCTATGAAATGTTAATTCAATAATGAAAAATAACCACAAAGGAGAAGCACAACAACAATGTCCTGCTGGTAGCACTACGATGAAATCAACCGGGCTACATCGCACAGTTATGTGGTCACGTGCCAAAATCACGTAACCTTTTTTTTACTATTTTGATCACTTATCAGTAATTTGAATTTCTCTGTATTGATTATATAGAACCGATTCCTTTTTGATGATTTTATTTTGGCAAATTTCATAGTTTATTGATTGTAGAAGTTATAACGTATTATATCTATCATTTTCAGCCACTCAGTATTGTGTTGAAATTTTTTTTGGACACTAATGTTATATAGTATTATTAACGACTATTTGGTTCTGCCCACAGTCTACTCATTGGCGACCAGCGCGCCACCTTGTGATTTCTAGATGTATTAGCTGTATATGAATGTTTACCCTCCTATCAAGGTACCTTCTGTTAATATTTGCTTTACTATCAAGACACCTTCTTTACCAGCTTTTATCTTTTCCTTTTGATGTTCTGTCGAACGTTCTTCTTCAGAGCCACTTATTTAACCTTCTTTTACGGGGCTGCGTGCCCAGACGGTCCAGCGCCGGTTTCTTTCTTCTGTAGTTTTGGTTGTGTGCGGGCGTTTTATCAATAAATAACTTCCAGATCTTGAGATATTAACACCCCGAACACCAGTTTATGGAGAAGTACCCTTTTATTTTGTACCTTTTTGTATACCATCGGACTATGTCCATTGATGCTTGTCCTGAAGAAGTTTGTTCAAAAGTGATTCCTTTTAGTGGAAAGCCATTGTGGAAAACCACCATTCACACTCCTCTAGCTTTGTTTTGTAGCTGCCTTGTAGCTGTTTCGCAGCCGATTTTGTTGGTAGCCATCTCTTCTCCTTGATAAAAAACCCTGATGTGAACAGGTAAAACATCATTTTAATTGGGTATTTTATAGATATTGATATATTGATCGTTGCTGACTGAAATTCTTGGAGTATTCTTGATTTTGTTTGGCATTTTACGTATTCAAATATAGGGCAGTGCTTACATGTCACCGTCATTTGGGTTTATTACCTTACATTAATCATGATTTTGAGCTGCCATAACTCCTTTTAGAATAATGGATACATTTCTGAGGGTGTATCACTTTTGTAAATTTTTATCTTTTCTTGCCCTTGCAGAAAGAAGAGTAGTTTTTCTGTAAAAGACAATTTACATGGATTTTTCTTCAAGTTTTGAGCTTTCTAAATGTGTAGTTCTATCTCAGACATAGAGTAGAGAGTAGATATTTGAACAGTCTTTCTCTCTCTAGTTTTTTTTTTATACCGTAAATTTTAATAATAATAATGCTTATTTGTAAAACACAATTGTCTCTAACAAAACAAATAAACATAGAGTACCCGTGGATGGCGCGGGTATTTACCCATACGAAACATTGTCATTACATTGATATATTCATGTGAATTTCTTCTGTAAATGGCATATTTGATGTATTTTGATATATTCTTAATTATTATTGAATATATGATTAGATTACACAATTACATAAATGTATCATTATAACATAATATATCCGTTTAAATAAACTGAATTTAAAACCTTATAAATTTCTACGGTTCTAGAAATAGGTGGTAAGTTTTTGTCGAGAGAATCTGAATATACATTAATTTTGTACTTCGTTAATACCTATATACGATTGTTCTTGTATCCACAGTTTTATACGTTTTTTGAATGTATAGTAACTGGTGCGCTGTCTTCATTCTTCAGGCAGAAGACTATGGACTAGTGGCATATACAGGGTGTTCCTTAATGATATACGAATATTTAAGGGTGTGAATCTACATGAAAAATTAATGTTAGTTTGCTTCATACACTATGGTCCAAAAATGTTTCCTTACAAAAACTCAGGCTGTTGAAGCTTTAGGAAAAAAATGGAAATTAATTAATATTTTCAGAACCGCTTCCGATATTTCACTGATATTTAGTACGTGGTGAAAGTTAATAAGTCACATATTTTTCAATGCAAAAATAATTTTTAGCTCTAACAGTGGCGCGCGTACGGGTATCGACTTCGATATTTTTTAAGAAAAAAATTGTCCGCCAATGTTTTTTGAATTCCCCGTTCAATTTAGAACAAATGTTTTCTCTTGAAATGTTTTCCTTCGATGCGCCATTTTTGAGTAAAAATATAAAAACCGTTCTATTGTCCGAGAAAATTAATGTAATAATTGAAGGATGCAATTTAGCAATAAATATCTAGTTGCTCTGGAATATCTCACTGGATTTTGACATCTGACAAGTCTCTGTTATTAAAATTTGTTCACTGTGACATCTTTTTCATTATTTAGTTTTTACAATCTTGTTAATAATGGTGAATTATTCAAATGCAGAACTGGCGGAAATGCATTACGTTTATGGCCTTGCCGACGGTATTGGTGAGCAAGCCAGATGGATTTATCATCAGAGATATCCCGATCGTGCTTTGCTAGATAGTCGAACCTTTTATAATATTCATCGTCGTCTTGTTGAAACTGGTTCTGTCCGAAAAGGAACATCTGAAGCTGGACCTCTAAGTGTGAGAACTCCTGAAATTGAGGAAGCAGTGATGCACAAAGTCAAAGAACATCCTGAAACGAGTACGAGGAAGATCGCTAGACACCTAAATATTTGCCATCAAATTGTTTGCAGAATTTTAGTGGATTTTTTTGTTATATCCTTACCATATTTTAAGAGTACTGGCATTACTTTCCATTGATTTTCCAAGGCGTGTGACCTTTTGTCAGTGGTATCTTCAAAAAATTACACAAAATCCGCAATTTGAATTAATGCCATTCAGAATTTCCACAATAATCATTTGTGGGCAGAGGAAAATCCCTATGCCGTAACCGAAGCCCATTTCCAACACCAATTTTCGGTTAATGTATGGACAGGAAATATTGGCAACCACTTTATTGGCCCATTCTTCTTGCCGAGACGACTTGACGGACAGACTTACCTCAATTTTCGTCAACAACAGTTACTTGATGATGTTCCGTTAGTAATAAGAAACAATAGGTGGTACATGCATGACGGTGCACCAGCCCATTTCAGTGTAGCGGTTCGTAATTATGTACAAACAGCTTATCCAAATCGTTTGAATGGCGGTGGTGGGCCTCAAGAGTGGCCACGAAGGTCCCCAGACCTCAACAGTTTAGATTTCTTTTTGTGGGGCTATCTGAAGACACTAGTGTACACAAGTCCCATTAACACTGTGGAGGAGGAATTAAGAGAAAGAATAGTTGCAGCTTGTGATAGGCTAAAAAACACTCCAGGGATATTTCAACCAGTGCGCAATTCCATGAGGAGGGCGGAAGCATGCATACTAAGTGAAGGGGGCCTTTTTAAACAATTTTTATAATAATTTCTTTGCTTTTAATG